GAAAGTCCCTGCAACACCCGTGTAGAAAAGAAATTAGAATTTCTCTAAGTCACATTAGAGAAATGTGAGCCGTAGCTGGATTCAGGAGCCATGACCGAACAGGCGGTAATGGATACAATTGCTGAGGAAGGAGTGAAACAAATAGAAACCTGGGTATCAAATCCTAATGATTAAGAGGAAATCGAGAGGGGCGCCTGGCTGGCTCAGTCAGTGGAGTATACGACTTTTGATCCCAGGGTTGTGAGTTCAAGCCCCACACTGGGTGTAGAGATCACTTAAAAAGAAAATCTCTGAAGAAAAGAGGAAAGTGAGAGAGGAGATGATGAAGTACACTGGGAAGAAGGACTGGGCCAGATGTGGCTGGACCAAAAGAAGGCAGATCATATAAGCTAAGAGAAAAATGCAATCAACGAAGTGAAGGACAAAAAGTGTCCCCTGGAGTTGGCAGTGGGGTCACGGGCCTGCCATTTCAGATGATCCATCCCAAAGGTAAAGGCTATCATGACCAAATAAAAATGCTTCACCTTGAAACTATGAATCTAGAAAGTACGAAAACAAAACAAGTCATTCTGTCCTGTCCGCTGAGCTGACACTGGCGTTTACCCTGCTGTTTCACGGTGGCTCCTGCTGGTGCCCGGCCGCAGTAACTTTGTGACTGGGATATGATACAGCATCAACACTGTGGACTAAACTGGGTAACTGCCCGAAAAACTCATCGGCCCCCAACACAATCCTGGTGTCTTCCCTGCACTTCCACAAGCCAGCGGTGATGGGGCGGGGGCGTGGGGGGGGGGGAGCTGAATCTAGCCTCCCTTTCCTGTACCTGCTCCTGCCCCGAGGCACAGCTGAAGCTCTGATTCTAGCTTCTCTCACAGGCCGGCCTTCTACTCTCCAATACAAAGTCATCAGAAAGCTGGGAATCTCTTGGGAAGAGGAACAACTTGTTTGTGGCAATTCCCTGCTGAGACCGTAAAACCAAAACAGAAGCCAGGAAACAGCCTGGTGTGGGCTGGAGAAAGATCTCATAAATGATCTCACCCGTAAGGTAAGCTCACTCTGGCAAGCCCTTTCACATGTTAATTCCCTTGTGCCATGTTTCTAACTTCTCATCCAAACCAACAGAGTAGCTTGAATCTATACTACTTTAGCACTTAACAATTTTTTATGGATTGGGGAAATGACATCTAAGGAATGTCAACTGTCACCAACAGTGACTGTGCAAGTACCTACAGGGCCAATAGCAATGTCTCTAGTGACTCAGGGGAACAAAAATAGTCTTTTTTTTAATCAAAATTAGTTTCAGGTTTCAACTGCACCAGTAAGGAAAATACAAAATTAGAGAAATAAATATTTTAAGAGATGCTCACAGCAGTCTCCGTTTAAATCTGTGACTCCCACCGCGATTTATGCTTTGGTGAGTCACAAGATGAAAACAATTACAAGAGCTTTGCTTACTTGACAAGCTGTACTGCTGACATGTTACTCTGGGAGGCCGTGAGGCACAGAGGGAGTAAGACGATGGGCAAATCGTCTACTACTCTCTTGAAAAATGGCATAAATGATGTTTGTCTTCGTCATTCTTTGCTGATGACACACAGGCAAATCATTCATCACTATCATTTTTTCTGTGCTAATAAACCCAATTAGGCTTGAGGCAGCAAAAATGAGCATCTATGTACAATTAAACAGTTTCAACAAAAATAGAATTTTTCTGTAAAAGGAAGAACTTTCTTAAAAAGTTGTTTTTATAAAGCTAATATGTATTTATTACAGAATATTCAGAAAATGCACAAAAAGGAGAAAAAAATCATCCATAATCCTATCTCCTCACCCCTGGGTACAGCCACTGTTAAATAATGGCACATTTTTAAAAGAAAAAAATATTACTCAGAAGTAATGAAAAATAAAAAGTCAATTTAGCTTAAAGCTTCAAGTGAAATAAAGCTCACAAGGCTGTAGGCATGAAAAATCTTAACCGAAATGGCCACTTACCGTCCCATCATTAGCATCTCCTGCTACATACATAGTCCAGTCCTTGCCTCAACCCAGTTATTTTGAAAAACTTCAAATCTACAGAAAAACTGAAATTAACCCCAGATCACCTAGACTCACCAGCTGTTAACATTTGGCCATATCTGCTTTTCCTCTGTCTGTATACATGTCCTTTTCTGTTTTTGTTGGTTGTTAAACACTTGAGTACTCTAACATGTATTTCCTAAGAACAAGGACATTTTAAGGGAAAGTAATAATTTCTGCGGATTAGCCAAACTGTATAATCCTTTTTTAAAAAAGATTTTATTTATTCATTTTGAGAGAGAGAGGGAGAGAGCACGAGTGGGGAGAGGGTCAGAGAGAGGGACAGAGAAAAAGAGGATGAGCGAGGAGGAGGGCCAGAGAGAGAAGCAGGCTGGCAGAGTCCCCGCTGAGCAGGGAGATGGACGTGAGGCTCGATCCTAGGATCCTGGGATCATGACCCGAGCCGAATGCAAAATTTGTACCTCTAGGGGCACTTGGATGGCTCAGTTGCTTAAGTCTCTGCCTTTGGCTCAGGTCATGATCCCAGGGTCCTGGGATTGAGCCCCCGCATTGGGAGTCCCTGCTCAGTGGGGAGTCTGCTTCTCCCTCTCCCTCTGGCTGCCACTCTGCCTGCTTGTGCTCTTGTGCATAAAATCTTTTAAAAAAATCTGTAATTCGATCTAGAAGACTGACTAAGACAATGGGGCAGACTCTGTAACGCTGTGATTAGCCTGAAGTATTAAAGCCGATTTTCTTCCTCTTCGCCCCACACTGTGACTCCTTCCTCTGAAAGTTTCTCAACGTCGCCAACACCGACCTTTTGAGCCAGATAATTCTTTGTTGTGGGGGCTTGTGTGTGTGTTGTAGGATGTCCAGCAGCACTGTTGGCCTCTAGATGCCAGGACCACTGCACACCCAGCTGTAACCCTGAGCGAGTCCCTGGGCATGGCTAAGTGCCCCTGGCGGGAGAGACTCTGCTCTTGAACAACAGGTCCCAGAAGTCCCGATGAGCGGCAGCACGAACGAGGACAGTGTGCATTTATCTCCCGGACGCTTACCATGCAGCGTCATGTTCTGGCATTCTGCAGGCCTGAAAATCATTTAGTCCCTGGAATGAGCCTCTCAACAGGCCGGCGTAGCCCCATCTTACGGATTAGGGATGGACACGGTGAGACTGAACGGCCTGCACAGGCCACACCGACCCCGAGTGGCAGCGCGGGGCTGCCTGGACTCTCGTGCTGCGCCCTCGGCTGCCTGCTCGGACACCTGCTCCCAAACGTGCCCTCACGTACTTACTCCCTGGTACGCCATTTTTCTCTTTCCTACTCATGCCAACCCGAAGCCTTTTCTGGGCAAATCCACTCTATGCCAGCCTTCAGACCGCTCCAAGACCACCTGACACAATGCCAGTGCCCCGGGCTCCTCGGAGCAGCAGGACCGTTCCTCTGGGAAGAGTTCTAGCAACCACAGAAAGCCTGGGGCGCTGCCCACGCTCGTTCTGAGCAGAAAGTCTCACTGAGGACTTGCTTCCCCCCTCGGGGAGCTTGTGTACTAGTTAATCCGGGACAACCTCAGGGGGCTTGCGTACTAGTTAATCCGGGACAACCTCAGGGGGCTTGCGTACTAGTTAATCCGGGACAATGGCTCCTACAGTGCCTGGCATGTGGTCAGCTAGGTACCTGCTCGGGGCCAGCTCCTCTCGTCCCTCCAGGACGGCAGCAGCTCTCAGGGCAGGGATCTCTCACTGTGTCCTCACAGAGCCCCAGTGCTTGGCACACACTAATTTCTCAAACATTTTCTGAGTAAATGAATAAACAAAGCAAAGAATGGCTTCCTTCAAAACCTGAGATCCAACACTTAGCGAACACGACTTAGCTAAGCCACTGCTCTTGATTAAAAGTAAAAATACTTTCGCTGGGACATAATCTGCTCCCTCCCCCGCTCATGTGTTTGCCTGTGTTCTCTCTCTCTCAAATAAATAAATAAATACGATCTTTAAAAAAATAAATGTTTTTGAGCAGAAGTCCATGTACAGGTGAAATGAAGGAGATCCAGTTCGCATCTACAGAGCTGACATACATAGTTTCAACTACTTGTACTGAACACCAAAGACCCACAGCACATGATGAGATGCGTTGCGTAAGGCAAACAGGAAAATGTTTCTCAGTTCGTCAGTAGAGCTGGTCTCAGGTCTGGCTTCCATGTTTTAGCTCAGCCTTGACGTTGCAGGACGAACTCCACAGCTGATGTAGGTGACTCCCAGAGATGCTTGGGAAACTGACGCCTATGTGGTTCCAAAGCCTGAGGAATGTACTCAGACTAGACTTGACCGGCCTGGAGAGGCCAAGCCGCATGGCTGAGTAATCCGTTCTCGCCCACCACTCGATGCTCGGAAACCACCCTGCAGCTTAACCACAGGCCGATGTCTCTAGTGATTCTAGTTTCTGCACTTGGCAGGTAGGAGAGGGGATCTCTAGGACCCATCTACTCAAGACTGGACCTAGAAGGACCTAGAACAGGACAGCTGTGTTTTCTGACATGTTCCACAACCTCGAGAAGTTTTATTCATCTTGGAAACGTGGCTGGTCTCTGCAATTATCCCGCCTGCACCTACCACCCAGGCCCTCTTTAGATAAGTAAATGGCCCGAGTTACTCAAACGGTATCTGGGTCTCGAGTTCCATCAGTCCATACCTATAACTATCCTTTGTCACTAGAACTGTCACGTGGTTCTTGGTCCACTGAGCAAGCCGGGCAGTGCCTGTCCGAAGGGGCGCTGTGGGGACGGCTGAGGTGTCCCGGAGCCGAGGGAAGGGACGGTGCGGGGCGCTACACTTCGGTCGTCTGGGCACAGAGCCGGTGGCCTCACCCAGCGCCCTGAAGGGTTGTGCCAGCACAACAAAGTGTCAACCGGCGGCCTCGAGAGCACAGCGCCAGGCCTGTGGTGACCGCGCAGCCCCACGGCCCTGCCCCTCCACCCCATACCTCGGGCAGGATGAACTGCTCCACGGGCTTGTACCACAGCCTGTTCACCTGCACGCCGCAGCTCGGGGGGCTGAAACGGGCCACGAAGAGAGCCTCCTGCAAACAGGGGTGGGGGGGACAAAAAGAAAGACTTTGCGTTAGACACTGTGTATGCATCAAGTTTTCCAGCATCTTCTGTCTTGGGCAACTTAATCCTCGATGGCCCCAGCCAGGGTTATTATGCGTCTCCAGATGCTGAGACACCATCGTGTTTTCCAGTGTGGTCACGCTTATTACGTAGATGTAGATATTTAAGGTAACAAAAGCGGTCCTAAAGTTCTAAAACACGAAATAAAATCCACATAGCTTTTAAAAAAAAAGCCCACCTTGAAATGAGGAACATTAGGGGAAGCATGAGGTGTTAAGTCAAGCCGAATTATTAGGCTTAACCCCAAGGGTTAAGAAGAAACTGAAAGATCACATCTTTCTACACAGAACAAAGGTACTGCAGGAACACCCCCGCCCCCATTCAGAAAGCACCTTTACAAGAAAAAAACGGCAAGGACACAAAAAAGGAACATAAAGAAGGCTGATTCACACTGTGTCTCTATGTACTCCTTGTTAACAGCACTTGGCTCTAAGGCGCTTTGCACAGTGTTTTTTACAATCTGTGGCAACCCTGCAGTGAACGAGTCCAGAGACGCCATTCTTCTGACAGCATTTGCTCACTTTGTGTCTCTGTGTCACATTTTGGTCATTCTTGTGGTATTTCACATTTTTCCTTTATTACTGTATTTGCTTTGGTGATCTGTGATACTGCTTTAATTGTGGGGGAGCCACGAACTGCTCCCAAATAAGATGGCAAACTTACCTGATAAACCCACTGTCCAGCACTTCCTCACCCCGCTCCCTCTCCTCGGGCTCCCCTATTCCCTGAGACTCAACAATATTGAAATTCAGCCACTTAATACCTCCACAGTAAGTGTTCAAGTGAAAGGAAGAGGTGCCTGTCTCTCACTCTAAATCAGAAGCTAGTGTGGTCAACAATAGCCAAACGATGGGAAGAGCCCAGATGTCCAATGACAGATGAATGGAGAAAGATGATGTGGGGGATATATACAATGGAATTATTACACAGCCATCAAAAATGAAATCTTGCCATTTGCAATGACGTGGATGGAATGAGAGGGTAGTATACCAAGCGAAATAAGTCAATCAGAGAAAGACAATTATCATATGATCTCACGGACATGAGGAATTTGAGAAACAAGGCAGAGGCTCATAGGGGAAGACAGGAAAAAATAAAACAATATGAAACCAGAGAGGGAGGGGCGCCTGGGTGGCTCAGTGGGTTAAAGCCTCTGCCTTCGGCTCAGGTCATGATCCCAGGGTCCTGGGATTGAGCCCCGCATCGGGCTCTCTGCTCCGCGGAGGGCCTGCTTCCTCCCCTCTCTCTGCTTGCCTCCCTGCCTGTTTGTGATCTCTCTCTCTGTCAAATGAATAAATAAAATCTTAAAAAAAAAAAAAAAAAAAAAAGAAACCAGAGAGGGAGACAAACCATAAGAGACTCTTAATCTTAGGAAACAAACTGAGGACTGCTGGAGGGGAGGAGGTGGGAGGTTGGGGTAACAGGGTGATGGACACTGGGAAAGTATATGTTGTAATGAGTACTGGGTATATATAAGATTGATGAGTCACAGGCCTGTATCCCTGAAACAAATAATACATTATATCCTAATTGAATTTAAATTTCAACTTAAAGGATGTAAACCTAAGAGTTAAATAAATTATAATACAAGCCAAGTTCACACACACACATACACACACACAAAGCTAGTGTGATAAAGCTTAGTGAGGAAGGCGAGTTGAAAGCAGAGATAGGCTGAAAGCTGGGCCTCTCATTCCTCTTTGCGAACACAAAGGAAAAGTTCCTGAGGGAAACTCTAAGGGCCTCTCCATGGAACATGTGAAGTGGAACAGCCTTCCTGCCGATACAGAGTCATCATCTGGACAGGGGGCAAAACCAGCCACACGGTCGCCTTAAGTCAAAGCCCAATCCAGAGGAAGGCTCTGACTTCAATTCCATGAAGGCTGAGGAAGGCAAGGAAGCTGCGGGAGAAGAGCCAGAAGCCGGCAGAGGTGGGTGCAGAGGTTAACGTAAAGCTGGAAAATGTCTCCATAACCTCAAAGTGCCAGGTGAGACCACAGGTGCTGATGGAGAAGCCGCAGCAAGTTCTCCAGGAGACGGAGTGGAGATCATTCAGGAAGGTGGCTATACTGACCAACAGATTACCAGTGTAGACAAAGCAGCCTTCTGCCAGAAGGAGACACGACCTGCGGCTTTCCTAGCTAGACAGAAGTCAACGCCTGGCTTCGAAGCCTCAAAGGACAGGCCGACTCTCTCGCTGGGGCTCATGCGGCTGGTGACTTGAGGGTGCGCGCTCATCTGCCGTTCTGCAAATCCCAGGGCCCCTAAGAATTATGCTAAATCCACTCTGCCTGTGCCCTATGAATGCAACTACAAACCCTCAGTGACAGCGCATCCGTTTACCCGTGGTTTCTGGATATTTTAAACCCACTGCTGAGACCACTGTCAGAAAGAAAATATTCCTTTCAAAACAGGACTGCTCAGTGACCATGCACCTGGTCACCCAGGAGCCCTGACAGGACGTTCGAGATGAGTGTTGCTTCCACACCTGCTAACACCGCATCTGTTCCGCAGCCCATGGATCAAGGAGTCATTTCGACCTTCAAGTCTTATTATTTAAGGAATACATTTTGTAAGACTGCCACAGACTCCTCGGATGGGTCTGGGCAAAGGAAACCGAAAGAGTTCTGAAAGGATTCACCACTGTAGGTGCCACTGACAACATTCATGTGTCCTGGGAAGAGGCCCAATACGGACATGAACAGAACCTGGAAGGAGCCGATTCCAGCCCTCGTGGAGAACTCTGACAGGCTCAAGTCACTGCAGATGTGGTGGAAATAGCAAGAAAACTAGAATTAGAAGTGAAGCCCGAGGGTGTGGCTGAATGGCCGCGATCTCATGATGAAACTTTCATGGAAAAGGACCGGCTTCTTATGGGGGAGCAACCAAAATGGTTTCCTGGGATGGAAGCGACTCTGGGTGAAGATGCCGTGAAACCGCTGGAATGACGAAGGATTCAGGATGCAGCTGATAGGGTGTGCGAAGTGGACCCCAATTCTGAAGGAAGTTCTACTTCGGAGAGAACGCTATCAAGCAGCATCACGTGCTACAGAGAAATCATTTGTGAAAGGAAGAGTCAGCCAGTGAGGCAACCTTCTTCACTGCTGTCTTATTTTAAGAAATGGCCCTGGCCACCCCAGCCTTCAGCAGCTGCTACCACGGTCAGTCGGCACCCACTGACATCGACGTAAGACCCTCCACCAGCAAAAAAATCATGACTTGCTAAAGGTCAGATGATGGTGAGCATTTTTTAGGAATAAAGTATTTTTATTTTTTTATTTATTTACTTAAGAGAGAGAGACACAGAGATAGTGAGAGAGAGCACAAGCAGGGAGGAGAGGGAGAAGCAGGCTCCCTGCTCAGATGCGGGCTTGATCCCAGGACTCTGGGATCGTGACCTGAGCTGAAGGCAGACGCTTAATGACTGAGCCACCCAGTGCCCCAATAAAGTATTATTATTTTCAGATTTTATTATTTATTTATTTATTTGAAAGAGTGAGAAGAAAGAGAGAGAAAGAGAGACAATGGGGGGGGGAGGGTCAGGGGGAAAAGCAGACTCCCTGCTGAGCAGGGAGCCCAGTGTGGGACTAGATCCTGGGACTTTAGGATCATGACCTGAGCCGAAGGCAGTCGCTTAACCAACTGAGCCACCCAGGGCCCCCCAATAAAGTATTTCTAAATTAAGGTATGTGCCTTGTTTTTTTGACATTTGCATTAATATTAATACTATGGCACGTGTAATAGATGATAATAAAGTGTAAACACAACTTACAGGTGCACCAAGCAAAAAGTTCATTTGACTTGCTTTCCTGTGACATTTGCTTTCCTGTGGTGGTCTGGAAGGGAACCCACAGTATCTCAGAGGTATGCCTGTACTGTTTTCTTTGAGTCCTTCCCAGTTTGTTTTAGGCAAGAACATTTCCTACTTCTCTCATGCATATTCTTATAGGCCACCTTATTACAGGAGAAACTTCTGTTAAAGCTATGAAGACCACACAGAATTTTAGGATTGGGGGGTTTTAGCGGATTATGCTTATTTCTTTCATTAACACCAGTTCTTGGCCATATAGTGGCAATACCTTTTGTATTTTGAGTACCTGCTAACCTATTAGCATCCACCTTAGAATAGGCCTTTCTTGAGGACAAAGATTAACTTCTTGGCTAACAATATGGCAACTAAAAGATAAATCAACATTATCAAAATACTGTTTGGGCCAAGCCTCTTCACTGATAATTCAAATATTACGAATGGTTTAAAAAAAAAAAGACAACATATACTAAGACAATTAAATGGATCAAAAGGAGGGATGCCTGGTTGGTTCAGTAGGTTAACCATCCGCCTTTGGCTCAGGTCATGATCCCAGGGTCCTGGGATTGAGCCCCACATAGGGCTCCTTGCTCAGCGGGGAGCCTGCTTCTTCCTCTCCCTCTGCCTGCTGCTCTCCGCTTGTGTGCTCTCTCCCTCTCAAAAATAGTCTCTGTTAGCCAATTTAACTGCCTGCTAAAACAAAACAAAACAAAAATCAATACTCTTCAAGAAATATAATAGATCCAGAGATCCTGTGATGAATTATTCATAATATCTAGGATACAATCCAAAGTTACTTGATATAAGACAAACCAATCCATACCCAAGAAAAAAGATAATAATCAATAAAGACAGAACTCAACATGATTCAAATATTAAACTAAACAGACAGGATTTGAAAGTCATTATTTTATCTAAGGTCAAACCTGTAAAGAAAGTATGTTCAAAATGAATGAGCTCAGGAAATTTTAGAGAAATAAAACTACAAAAGAGAATTATTAAAGGGACATGCAAGAACTGTGAAGTACAATATCTAAAATGCATTCATTGGTGAGGTTGAACAGCAGATCTGAGATGAAGAGTCTGTCAATATGAACACAGACGGAAGGAATTATTGAATCTGAAAAACAAAAAGAATTTTTAAAAAATGGACACAGCATCATGATCTGTGGAACAATGGGAAAAGGTCTAACACGCAGGTAATTGGAATCCCAGAAAGAGTGGAGAAAATGGGGCCGAGGAAAATTTTTTGAAGAAATAATAGCTGAAAGTTTCTCAAATTTGGTAAAAAACAGATTTACAGATAGAAGAAAGTTGCCAAACCCTGAGCAGCATAGACAAAAAGAATAAACCACACCCAAGGTACAACACAACCAAACTGCTTAAAACCAAATACAAAGGGGTGCCTGGGTGGTTCAGTGGGTTAAGCCTCTGCCTTCGGCTCAGGTCATGATCCCAGGGTCCTGGGATTGAGCCCCGCATCGGGCTCTCTGCTCAACGGGAAGCCTGCTTCCCCCTCTCCCACTCCCCCTGCTTGTGTTCCCTCTCTTCCTGTGTCTTTCTCTGTCAAGTGAATAAATAAAATCTTTAGAACAAACAAACAAATATAAAAAGAAAATCTTAAAGGCAGCCAGGACAAACAGACGAAAAAACCACTTACATATACCATACATAGGAGCAACAATATGACGGATAGTTGGCTTCTCACCAGAAACAATGAAGGTCAGAAAATATTAAAAAGGCATCTTTAAGGGGCGCCTGGGTGGCTCAGTGGGTTGAAGCCTCTGCCTTCAGCTCAGTTCATGATCCCAGAGTCCTGGGATCGAGCCCCGCATCAGGCTCTCTGCTCAGCGGGGAGCCTGCTTCCCCCTCTCTCTCTGCCTGACTCTCTGCCTACTTGTAATCTCTGTCTGTCAAATAAATAAATAAATAAATAAATCGTAAAAATTTAAAAAAAAAGGCATCTTTAAAATACTGAAAAGAAAAGAAGTCAACCCAGACTTTCCATATCCAGAAAATATTCCAGAAGAAAAGAGGGGGAGGGGAGGGAGGGAGACAGAATAAAGACAAAATAAAAACATTTTCAGAAAAAAGAAAACGAATCAAATTCATTACATAAACTTGCACATTCAGAAAACCTGAATATTCAGGAAGGGATGAGGGGCACTAGAAGTGTAAATGTGTGGGCAAACATAAAAGATGATCCTCTAAATTACTTTAATACATGTTTAGCTGTTTAAAGCATAAGTTATAACTCTATACTCTTCTTATATTTTACATGAAAGGGTACATTAATTTTAAGAAAAATTATAATATAGGATGTACATTGTAATCTTTCTGTCAACTACACATAAAAAAGAGGAGTGCAAAGAGCTGTAGCTGATAGGACAAGAGAGAAACTGAAATGGAATTCTGAAAAATACTCAAACCTAAAGAAGGCGGGAAAGAGGAACAGAAACAGAAAATCATAGAACAAAGAGCAAAATCAAAAACACTTCGATAACTGCATTAAATGTAAATGGATAAACACTCCATTTAAAAGGTAGAAGAGAGTCTCAGACTAGATCAAAAGGAAGACCCAACTACATGCTGTCCTCAGGAAACCCAATTTCTTTCTTTCTTTCTCTCTCTTTCTTTCTCTCTCTCTCTCTCTCTATCTATATCTATATATATAAAAAAGAGGGGTGCCTGGGTCTCTCAGTCCATTAAGCATCCACCTTCAGCTCAGATCATGATCCTGAGGTCCTTGGATTGAGTCCCACATCAGGCTCCTTGCTCAGGGGGGAGCCTGCTTCTCTCTCTCCTTCCACCTGGGGCTCCTACTGCTTGTGCTCTCTCTCTGGCAAATAAATAAATTAAGATCTTAAAAAAAAAAGAATAATAATACACCATGACCAAGAGGAAGAGGAGGTTGATTTAACATTTCAGAATCAACAGATGTTAATTCATCCCACTAACAGAATAAAGGAGAAGAACCCTGGAAACATTCTATATGCCCAGCAACAGGAGAATGGATAAACATGTTGCTGGAATACAGCTCAGCAATTAAAAAGAGGAAAAGGGATAGGGCACCTGGCTGGCACAGTGGGTAGAGTATGCCCTCTTGATCTCAGGGTTGTGAGTTCAAGCCCCACATTTGGTATAAAGCTTACTTAAAAAAAAAAAAAAAGGAAAGTAAAAGAAAAGGGAAAAATCATTAATACATACAAGAACATGGATGAGTTATAAAAACAGGTTGAGTGAACGAAGCCTTACAGAGGGGAGTACTTTATGATTCTATTTACATATGAAATATCACAACAGGCAAAACCAGTCTATGATAACAGAGGGGGGAAAAAAAAAAAAAAGGAAGAGTGGCCACTTCTCAAAAGTGGGACAGGGTGATAGGAGTTTGGGTTACACAGCTTTATGTAGTTTAAATTAACCAAGGGGGTGCTGGCTGGCTCAGTCAGAAAAACATGTGACTCTTGATCTCAGGTCCATGAGTTCGAGCCCCACCGTGGGTGTAGAGATTACTTAAATAAATAAAAACTTAAACAAAAATAACTGACCTAATGTACATTTCACTGTGCATAAAATTTAAAAAACCACAAATATTAAAGCCCAGTTAATGGGGGAAAAAAAAAAGTCTAGTTAATGATATGCATGCTGAAGTATTTAGGGACAAAATGTCCGGATGCCTGAAACTGACTCTGAAATACAGTCAGGAAAAATAAGAAGATAGATCACTGAACAACCCTATATATGATAAAGCAAACACAGCAAACTGTTTTTTGGTTTGTTTTTTTAAGATTTTATTTATTTGAAAGAGAAAGGGAGAGCACAAACAGGGTGAGGGGCAGAGAGAAAGGCAGACTCCCAGCTGAGTAGGGACCCTGATGTGGAGCTGGATCCTGGGACTCCAGGATCATGACCTGGGCTGAAGGCAGACGCTTAACTGACTGAGTCACTCAGATGCCCCGAAATACAGCAAAATGTTAACTACTGTAGAAATTAGGTGGCTACATGGGCATTCACTGTATAATTCCTCCAAGATTTCTACAAATGGATCTCTTCAAATACAATTCCTTCCAAATATACTCCTTCAGATGTACTCAATGAACAAATCAGATTACCCTACATACCAGGAAGAGAGTAACCCCAGTTGTTTTAACCTTTGAGTCACTCAACATCTTTATTACAAAAGACATTCGAAGTAGCTGTTAGCCTTGTATTATAGAGACAGACTTTCAGGGTTGGAACGAAGAGACACTAATACTTGCTTATACCTCAGAGTCCCAAAGTTTCCACATTCATTATCAACTTTTGTAATTCCTTAGGCTTTAGGGGATTTCAGGTTGGGAATTTCTAATCTGCCCCAACCTCTTCTTTTCTAGATATAACACATTATTTTTCACTGGTATTCTATGCCCAAACCAGCATATTACTATATTATGCTATAATGTATCCAATCAGTAAGGGAAGAAAAGTGGAAATCTTCCAACCAGATGTAATTATATAGTCTCCCAATCTACTAAATGCCATGAGGAAAAAGCTGGTATTTTTTAAAAAGAAAAATAGGGAAAACCTTGTACAAAACAAAGCATTACCTCTTGTTCTGCCTGATAAAGCTTGACCGTGATGTTCCTCTGGAAACCCACATCACTGGCATCATAAAACACCCCAAGACTGGTAATAACGATGGGGTAGAGAACTCGGAAGCTCACGCTGACAACTCGGTCCTCAGAAATTCCTGATGAAGTGTCTTCAGAAAGACTGAATGCCTCAATTTCCTGGTTCAAAACTAAGGAAATCATAAGAAAGAGTTTTACATAACCAAACAAATATAATCTTACAATTCTTTCACAAATGGCAGTAATTAGGAAATTCTTCAGAAATATGGCTGCTTCTAGCAAAAAAATAAGTTAATTTTGAAATTTAAGAATGAAATTTTTAGCTACATCTAGGTAAAATATTTAACTATCAAAACTACTTGTGTGCATATGTATGTCTAAATGCCATAGAGAATAATCTATTAGGAAAGGTTCGATAAATAAGGTTATTAAAACAGTAGCTAATGCAGTAAAAAATAATGAGAAAATTTAGTCTTGCTCTGCAAATTCCAAAAACCCTACTTCTTTCTTTTTTTTCTTTTCTTTTTTTTTTTTTTTATTTGACAGACAGATCACAAGTAGGCAGAGAGAGAGAGGAGGAGGAGGCAGGCTCCCCGCTGAGCAGACAGCCCGATGCGGGACTCGATCCCAGGACCCTGGGATCATGACCTGAGCCGAAGGCAGAGGCTTCAACCACTGAGCCACCCAGGAGCCCCCAAAACCCTACTTCTTGTTGGGCAATTTAAAATACTTGTGATGTCACAGGACAAAAGTCCTTGAAATCACTTCCAATAACACTGAAAAATTCTACATAATACTGATAAATACTATATAATACTGATAAAAGAGAAGCACATCAGAGTAGCATTTCTGACCACATACTGTGTGCCATGCCCCATCACATTTACAACTTCACAACTACACTGAGTGGTCGTGGCATCATCTGACCTCACGTGTAATGATACTGAGGCCTGGAAATGTTAAGTAACTTGCCTGAGGTCACAGAAAGTGGCAAAGGCAGGAATCAACCCCAGGTTTATGAACTTCAAACTCAGTACTCTTTCCACTCCCCACAGCTGCCTAAATTGAAGCCAAAAACAGTCCTTTGCAAATAATGTTTTCAATTACCATAAATGAATCCGGACCGATTACACGAAGTAGTTTACATGGCTGAGAATATCAGTGCTAGTTTGTAAAGTAATATAGAAACCTATTCTAAAAGATTTTATCAAAGTTCTTTGTATCTTTCAGAGCTGTGGTTTTCCAATTTTCCTGCTCACACAACCACATCAGTTAAACACATTTGTACACACACTCATATACCAATTTACAAAATAGACACATATATTATTGTTACCAATATATTCAGTCTTTATAAAGATAACATTGTCTTCTTTTCAGATAAACAGAAATTCAGTCTTCTTCCCACACCCAGCAGATCCTCTGGATCCCTGCCTTTGAATTCCTAGGATGTTATTTTACACTTAGTAATGCTCAATAAAATGTGCCTGATTGGACTTGATGACCCCCACCCATTTACATACATAAGCAGAAGGGGGAAGAAGGTGGATACACATTTTGTCATGGGTTGGCCAAGCGCTGGCCACAGAGTCTAGACTCCAAAGAAACTGGATGACAGCAAAATGTTTTCTTTTTAATACACTCAGTAAATATAAAAGATTCAAAGTATATGCATATAGGTTAAGCATACTATAACATAACTACGTATCTATTAAAAAACAAATGTACCTTGAACTTCAAGCTACCTAGACACATGAAGTCCTGCTGCTTTAGTAATGTTATTAATCAAAACTTCTAGATATTCAGAGCATGATGATTAATTAACACTCATGATGACCTTAAGGTATTGAAATAAAATGAAAATGACATCTGAGTCATCAAAAAGATAAAATAAGGTTCAATATAAATTTAGTTACACCTATTAAAATTTTTTTATTCTAGGTATTGCACTTATGAAAATTTTCTATTAATTAATAGCTTCATTTCTTTACTATTAATGGATAATAACACTTAACATAATAAAAGTCTGGTTAATTCAAGGTGAGGTTTTTAAAAATTTGATTTGGTTTTGGATTTCAAATGTAATTTGTTCTAGGCTACTCTTACATCATCAGTAATGCAACATTTTATTAGGTTCATGGTCCCTATGGGACTTTAGTACAAGCTAACGGACTGCCTCACAGAAACACAATTACACATGACATTTTCCTTACAATGTTAACTAAAAGAGCATAAGTAAGAAACCTCAGCTTTATACAATACAGATAATTTATTTAAAAAGCTGACTGAAACTCAACTTTATAAAAGGCAGGTTCTTTAAAATACTATTAAGTACCATGTCCCAGGAACGAGTCTAAGTTTTTGTAAGTATCAACTTATTTCATCCTATCAATGCCTATGAGGTAAGTACTTTTATCCCCAGTTTACAGATGGTGAAACCAAGGCACAAATGGGGTAAATAACTGATCAAAGGTCACACAGCTCAAAAAGGCAGAGCGTAGATGTAAATCCATGGAACCTGACTTGAAAGCCCAGGCTTTCAACATTATCATTGCCTGTAAGAGTAAGATGTACATAATTATAAGACCTGACAAATCTTAAAATTCCAGGGGTCATACCTGGCACACTTAAAACTTTGAAAAGTTTACTTTTCCTTAGAACCATAGCTGAACATAACAGGAAATGCTGGTAAAGAAAGACATCTGCTTACACAGTTAGCAACGTCCTAAAACTGGTTCCCTGGTAATAGAGGAACATGATTAGGACCATCTTTCTTCATCATCAAAACTCCCACAAATCTTTAACTGTAAGGAATACAAAATATTACTCAGATTTAAAATTTTTACTATTTGTTTCTTTTGTAGGAGGTTATAGGCAATAATCCTAAGGGAAAGTTGACTCATAATATTTGTATCAAGGTTACTATAAATTGACAAGATGGTGAAATCAGCAGGTTTCTCAAAGTTCAAAACTCAGTTTTCTAGGATTATCTATGCACAAGGAAATCTCCAGATGCATGTGAATCATACTGAGAAACAAACTCTCCTGGATCCTGAATTAAATATATCTAAAAAGACTCCTCACAGAGAGCTAGAGTGATCACTCAATCTGTCAAAAAGGATGAAAGGTACATTGTGATGAAAGCTCGATCTTAGTCTGCTAAAAGCGGACCACCAGACTAGCCAGCTTAGCAGCTTTTCCTCAACATCAAACTTGTAAAACGGAAGCACAGAGCTGTGGAAAAAGATGACTCACCCGGATTCGTGATGTTGAGCAGTCTGCAAGAATAAGGATCTTCCCTGTCTTCCACGGGCACGTCGCAGCCATGAGCACCGATTATGAACTTCACAAGCACGCTGAAAGATGTATTGGCATTACCATCAGATACCGATCGGCACTCTGCGCATGCCCGTTTCCTCATGCCCCTTTCAAAGCTTTTACTTTAAGACCCAAATATTTATTCTAACTTTATTTTTCTGGTCTAGCAAAACAGAAACAAGCAAAATGAAAGTTGCCAACCACCACATGACATGTGGGTAAGCCCTCTCCTGTAGTACTATGTCAAAGCGAGTATGAATATGTTTGGCCGGGCTACCAGCAAATGCTCATACCAATTAAAAACAAACCACAGTAAAGTCAGTTTCTCACAGTCCGACCTAAAAACATATCTGTATCTGCAATCTTCTTTATTTACTTTCCTCTATTGTAGAAGGTAATCCTTTTGCTCCAGACCAGATTAGTCTTCCTATTCAAGAAGAGGTCCTCTCCTCTCCTAAACCTTGCCTGTAACCTGTGGCTCCTTCCCTACATGTTACAAATACGATGAAGTCTTGATACTCATTTCTATTTACCGACCATCCCTTCCTTGTCTCCACCTTTTTTAGTGAAGTCCCACGAAGGAATGAACTAAAATTGTAGGCTCTAGTTTTTCATCTCTCACTCATATAAAACAGAAATTTTAGCTTCAGTACCCACCACTTATACTGAGCTGTTTACCACCAATGTAACCACTGATTTGCTGCTAAATCCAGACAACTTTTCAGCCCTTCGGTCTGCGGTTCAAGAATGCTGGTCTCCTTACAAGGCTCTTTCTCCCCAACTATGTGGCCGGCTCAGTCACGTGCACTGGCTCTTCTTCACCAAGTCTGCCCATTACGGTAGATATTAAAGCAGGGCTTTGGCTCTGGGTCTCTTCACTCTTTCTGCCTGCTCTCCCTGGACAATATTTATTCTCAAGACTTCAACTAGCTTGGGAAACATTCCCGAATTAGCATCTCTAGTTTGGACCCATCTCCTAAAAGATCCGTATGTATCCATTGAACATTTTTTCCCAGATGGCCCACAGATGACATTGTTGTGCCAAATCTTCAGGAATTCTGTGGGCTAGTTATTAAGAACAGACTTTATTAAATTATATAAACTTACAATGAAACACACTGCTTTAAAAACAAAGAAAATACTCAAATTAATCATTTCTTAATTATTTCACTACTACCTATGTTCTTGAGGTTATATTTACCTATTATATCTGGGTGGTAGAAATAAAATGGTATGCTACTACATATCTTTCCCAAGTCTGTGTTCAGAGATGTTGTGTTAGTTGAAGTTGGTCATGGTGGGAATATTTATACCACGGAAACTAGCAAACACTACAAATAAGGGTTTCATTGACTTTAAGGGATGGAGAAAAAAAAAAAGTAAATCGTTGGAGGAAAAGTTAACGAAGATTAAACTTAAAAAAGTAAGACGTGTCTTCATATATCAGTGGATCAGAATAGACAGCCCAGAGATAAACCCACAATTAATCAATGACAATGGAGGCAAGGATATCCAATGGGAAAAAGATAGTCTCTTCAACAAAGGGTTCGGGAAAACTGGACAGCTACCTGCAAAAGAATGAAATGAGACCACTTCCTACACCACAAACAAAAATAAACTCAAAATGGATTAAAGACCTAACTGTGAGACCTAAATCCATAAAACTCCTAGAAGAGAACATAGGCAGCAATTTCTCTGATGACAGCTGTAGAAACATTTTTCTAGCTATGTTTCCTCAGGCAAGAGAAACAAAAGCAAAATTAAACTACTGGGACTACATCAAAATAAAAGCCTCTGCACAGTGAAGGAAACAATAAAACTAAAAAGCAACCTATGGAATGGGAGAAGATACTTGTAAATGACAAATCTGATAAGGAGATAATATCCAAAATGTATAAAGAACTTACACAACTCAACATCAAAAAACAAAACAACCCAATTAAAAAATGGGCAGAAAACATGAATAGACAGTTTTCTAAAGAAGACATACAGATGACCAACAGACAGATGAAAGCATGTTCAACATGATTCATCCTCACAGAAATGCAAATCAAAACCACAATGAGATACCACCTCACAGGTGTTAGAATGGCTAATACCAAAAAGACAAGAAATAACAAGCATTGGTAAGGATGTGGAGAAAAGGGAACCCTTGTGCACTGCTGGTGGGAGAGCAAACTGCTGTAGCCACTGTGGAAAACAGTATGGAGGGCCCTCAAAAAATTAAAAATAGAACTACCAGGGCACCTGGGTGGCTCAGTGGGTTAAAGCCTCTGCCTTCGGCTCAGGTCATGATCCCAGGGTCCTGGGATCGAGCCCTGCATCAGGCTCTCTGCCCGGCAGGGAGTCTGCTTCCTCCTCTCTCTCTGCCTGCCTCTCTGCCTACTTGTGACCTTTCTCTCAAATAAATAAATAAAACCTTTAAAATAAAAAAATAGAACTACCATATGATCCAATAATTCCAGTATTGGGTATTTACCCAAAGAAAATGAAAACACTAATTTGAAAAGGTATATGCACTTGTATTTATTGCAACATTACTTATAGTAGCCAAGATATGGAAGCAACGCAAGTGTTCATCGACGGATGAATGGATAAAGATGTGGTATATACATATACAATGGAATATTACTCAGTCATAAAAAATGAACTCTTGGCATTTGCAGCAAGACAGATCTAGATAGAGTATTATGCTAAGTGAAATAATTTGGAGAAAGACAAATACCACATGATTTCACTTATATGTGGAATTTAAGAAATGAACGAAAAAAAAAAGACATAAACCAAAAAAACAGTCTCTTCATAATTTTTTAGTTTAATTTTATTTTTAAAAGATTTTATTTATTTGTCAGACGGCGAAAGAGAGAGCGAGTGCACGCACAAGTAGGGAAAGCAGTAGGCAGAGGGAGAACCAGGCTCCCCGCTGAGTAGGAAGCCTGATGCGGGACTCGACTTCAGAACCCGGGATCATGACCTGAGCTGAAGGTAGACGCTTAACTGACTGAGCCACCCAAGTGTCCCCCAAAAAACAGGCTCTTGAGTACAGAGAACAAACTGGTAGTGGCTAGAGAGGAGGTGGGTGGAGGGGATGGGAGAAACAGGTGAAGTAGATTAAGAGTCTATTTATCTTGATAAGCACTGTGTAATGTAGAGAATTGTTGAATTACTATATTGTACACCTGAAACTAATGTAACACTATATTAATAATACTTGAATTAAAAAGAAAAAGAAAAAAGTGATGTGTCTGTAGCCACCCCACTGTGAACAGCACAAAAAAATGAGGAACCATCCTTCCACTATTCAAAACCTATTACCTGATTCAACAAAGATGTCACTGCCTTTACTGATGAAGAGTAAAGTTCTGACATATGTCTCGGTTGTCACCTCAGTTTTACTCTATCTTAAAGAAAATATTTATGTCCAAACTGCACTCCTGTCAGGCGCAACATGCAATTGGTTAGATACAAAGGTCTAGAACGATGGGAGCATTCGTGGGAATCAGCTCGCTACATGGAATTTATAATAAAGAGTATCGCGTATGCTATTATCTGTCAGTTACGCACCATACAACATTTATATCAGTAAAACTTAGAACACATACATACGCACACGTACACATAATTGTTATGCTTCCGAGAGCCAGCTGGTAAACTTGAACCAGCACACTACTGCCTTCAGGTACCAGACTCAACATACCCACCACAGAACTTCTCTCCCGTGAAACCTGCTCTTCTCATCTAGTGTTTTTGCCTTGATTGATTATTCTCCAAGTTATTCTCATTATTCTCCAAGTTAGAAAGCTAGCAATCATCCTCAACTCCTTTTCCTCCTCTCCCTCTTGCTGTTTATTTACCTCATTTTCTTCTAAGGCCACACTTCAGTTCAGCCCCTCAGCCGCTTAGCAGTCCACGCCTCTGTCCCCACAGCTGTTCTGCAGGGCCTGGCCACAGCCTGCCCCGGGCTCGATGGCCTCCCTCTCTCTACCTCATAATCCCTGTCTCTCGGCCCCACTTTCCTTCCCGAGCGCTTCATCTCACTCATCCACACCCTCCTCTGAACTCCCCTCCCCAACCCAGCGTTCCAGTTACATGGAACTGTTCGGAGTTTCCCAAACACTCCAGGCTTTTTATTTATCTATATGATGGGACATATAACATTTTATTACACTGTTACATCTATTTCCTTCTATTAAACTTCAAGCTCCCATAAAGACTGGGACTCTATGGCAACTATCTTTGCATTCTACCACATGCAGTAAACTACGTGCATGCAGAAGATACTCAACAGTTACTTGTGAAATTGACAATTTATTAATTTTATTACAAAGGCTTTTCATTAAATAATGTCCCGGAAGTGTATGTGGAATCTGGCTCCTTCAGTGAAATGCAAGATTTGAAGCCACAGAAATGCAAACATTCCGTTTACTAATGGCCAATTAAGGCAGAATACCCATTTGTAAACAACTAGCATTTAGAATAAAAGTATAAACAGAAATGAGTAAGTTTGTTGACTAAATTATTGCAGATATTTAACAAATTAGTTTTTTTAAAGCCATCTTAAATACTCTTACTAGATTCACAAAATTACTCTGCCCTAAGAAGTTTTTGGCTAGTATCTATTTTTATATAAGTATCTCATCATTTTTATAGAACAAATCACCAAGCTTACTAAATTTATTTATTTATTTTTTAAAAAAATTTTATTTATTCATTTGACAGAGAGAGATCACAAGTAGGCAGGGAGGCAGGCAGAGAGAGAGAGGGGGAAGCAGGCTCCCTGCTGAGCAGAGAGCCCGACTCGGGGCTCGATCTCAGGACCCTGAGATCATGACCTGAGCCGAAGGCAGAGGCTTTAACCCACTGAGCCACCCAGGCACCCCCAAGCTTACTAAATTTAAAGCAGTAATGCTATGATGGCAAATAAATGACTCGTGACTATCTGAATGTTAATCTTCCTCACTACATTTAGTCTGAGTCATTCCCTCAAGAGTTGTTGAGTGTCTTACTCTGTGCCAAGTAAGGTTCCAAGTACTAGGAATACATCAGTGAAATAAGCAACATTCCCCAGGTGCCTGGGTGGTTGAGTTGGTTGGACATCCAACTCTTGGTTTTGGCTCAGGTCAGGATCTCAGGTTGTGGGATTGAGCCCAATGTCGGGCTCCACACCCAGTGCGTGGAGCCTGCTGAAGATCCTTTCTCCCTGTCTCCCTCTCCCTCAACCCCTTCCCCTGCTCACTTGTGTTCTTTCTCTCTCTCTGAAAATAAAATCTTAAAAAAAAAATGTTAAAGTCCCTACACTCATGAAACTATATTCTCGTGGGGAAAGACAAATGATTTAAAACACAAAGCTAGATATAATAAACATGCCAGTTGGTAATAAGTATTATAAAGAAAAACGAAGTCAACTAAGGGAGGATGGAGAGGGAAAAGGGGTTAGGTGCTATTTAATAAAGGGCTGCCTCCTGCTAAGGTGAATTCTAAACAGAGAGCTGAAAAATGTGAGACTGTGAACCAAGAGGACTGTCCAGTGGAAGAGTGATAAAGACAGGGGAGACCGTACGTGCAAAGGCCCCAAGGCAGAAGCACACTTAGTGTATGATGGAAGCACGGTAATGTTCACCAGTGTAGGGGAAGTAGATTTTGATAAGCTCAAAGACCACAGTGAGCACTTGGTATTTCACTCTGAGCAAAAGAGAAGCCAATGGAGGGGTATGAACAGAAAACAGACGTATTTGATGAATTTTAAAAGAAGCACTCTGGCTGCTGCACAGGAAAAAAAATATAGGGGAACAAAGGTAGAAGCAGGAAATCCAGATAGAGGAGGCCGCAAGAATCCAGGTGAGAGGTAATGTGGCCTGACGGGGAGAGGGTGGTGGTTCTGATGGTAGTGGTAGAGGTGGCAAGGGGCTGGATTCTGGATGATATAGAAAGGTAGCACCAAGAAAACATGCTGATGGGTTGGATGTGGCATGTGAGAGAAAGAAGAAATCAAGATAACAATGTAGTACAAATTTTTAAAATTTCCCATTTTCCTGGTGCCTCAACATCCTCACAAAGAGGTTATGAGCATCCTCCCCAGGTGACCTGATACACTGGAACGATAAAGCTGGTCCCTGCCATGAGATCCCCCTCTGGCCCTCCCTCACTCACCTAGTGACATTCAAACACAACAGTGAAATCCCCTCCCTCCTCCTGCTTGTATATGCCCCTGTGACCCCCGTAAAGGCATGTACTCATGGGGCCCCGCTGTGGACTCGCCACCTGCTTGGTTGAACCTGCTCCCTGGACGCTCCTCCTGTGTGGCCGCCCCCTGTGTGGTGCACTGGGCCTCCTTCTCTAGGACTTGGGAATGGACTAGATCTAATCTCAAAGGCCTCTCCCAGTGTACCTTCTGCGGCCATGCTGGACGGATCCTTAAAGACCCATAAGGGGGACTCACTCCGTCATTTATAACATAGTCACCGGGGTTTTCTGAGCAACAGGCAGAGAGGGGTCATTATTCTCTGGGACAGAAAAGGCTATGTAGGAAGGGCAGGTTTTGGACGAGGTTCTGCCAGCAGTGAGGAGTCCAAGGCCTTTCATTTGCTGGTCTATCGGTACTATTATCATTGAGATCATGAACCAAGGAAATCTGTCTTGAAAAGAAATGAAAGCCGCTATGAATAAGATAGGAAATCTATAAATGTTCATGACTGATGACAAGAAAATGCTGTAACTGTGTAGCTACTCAGTCCCAAATGTGCCAGTGTAATGCAATCCTAAGAGGGCCATGGAGAACTGCCCATCATCTGAGTGTCTCCGCAGAACTAAAAGTTCAGTCTCCCATGCTTCTGTTCCAATAGCCCCTCACGATGTCATCTTCAGAGGCTGGTCTCATTGCTAAGGTCTTGGGCTCCTAACCAATAACTGAGCCATCTAATACCAACATGAGATGTGCTACCAAAGCTCAGCCCTGGAAGGGCAGGCGGGAAAAAGAGCTACACACCGCAGAGCACACAATTAAAAAACACTACAGAACAGGAAAAATTCAGTGTGTCTCTGTGAAGTTGGTAAAAAGCATATTTAGACACAAACATGTCTAACCAGAGACCTATTCTGGAATAGAACTTTTTAAAAAAAAAATTTTAATTTTATTTATTTGACAGAGAGAGAGAGAGAGAGAGAGACCACAAGTAGGCAGAGAGGCAGGCAGGGTGGGGGGAGAAGCAGACTCCCTGCTGAGCAGAGAGCCTGATGTGGGGCTTGATCCCAGGACCCTGAGATCATGACCTGAGACGAAGGCAGAGGCTTTAACCCACTGAGCCACCCAGGTGCCCCTGGAATAGAACCTTTTAAGAATTACTATTCTAGAGGCACCTGGGTGATTAAGTGTCCAACTCTCGATTTCAGCTCGGGTTATGACATCAGGGTTGTGACATCCAGCCCTGCACTGGGCTCTGTGCTGGGCATGGAAACCGCTTAAGGTTCTTTCTGATTCTTTCTCCCTCTCCCTCTGCCCCTCTCGCTCTCTTTAAAAAAAAAAAAAAAAAAAAAAAAGGAATTACTATTCTAAATCAAAGCAAAAACAAAACAAACTAGGTATTTATAAATGCTAATATGTTAACCAATGAATATATTCTCCCCTAACTATCTTTAAGAACTTTGTGGGAAAGCAAAATAAATAGCCATTTCTCCCAGGAAGAGCGGCCACATGCCTAAATTAACATTTCTGACGGTCTCAGGAGAGGTCTTCCAGAACATTTACTCAGTTAATCAGGCAAGTGCCAACTCAGAAAACCTACCGTTGACTTAATGATGGATGTTGTATTAAATGCTTCAGCCAGGTGCTTCTTATCACATTTCGAAGTTCGTGGTTATTGCGAGCAGACAACACACCAACTACCACATCATAGTGACTAGACTTCCACTGAGGAAATGAGGCCAACTGATCTAGAAATAAGCAACAATAAATTAGAAATGTCATATCTCAATTACTGTTCATATGTGACATAAAAAGTTTATTGTAAAATAATGCATGTTCATGTGTATAGAATATACAAAGAAAAAATATTTTAAAAATCAGACGTACCATCCAGATAACCACGACTTTTTGGCATATAGTCTTTTTGTCTTCCCTATGTATGTATATATTTATGCTTCCATAAGTATGTAAAACTTCAAAACTAATAAGATGTTTACGGTGAGAATGAGTTTGGAAAGGCAGCGTGGCATAAACCACACAATAGTAGGCAGTATGAGTCCGTTAGGCCGCGAGCAGAATCCTGGTTCTTTTTATGTCCAGTAACTGTTATTTAACTTCTCTTTTTAATTAAAGATTAAAAAAAAAAAAAACTTCTAGGGGCACCTGGGTGGCTCAGTGGGTTAAAGCCTCTGCCTTCGGCTCAGGTCATGATCTCAGTGTCCTGGGATCGAGCCCCACATCGGGCTCTCTGCTAAGCAGGGAGCCTGCCTCCCCCCCACCCGCCTCTCTGCCTACTTGTGATGGCTCTCTCTCAATCTCTCTCTCTCACTCTGTCAAATAAATGAATAAAAAATAAAAATTAAAAAATTTAAAAAAACAAAAAACTTCTAAGTAATCTCAATCTGCCACATGGGGCTTGAACTCCCCACCCTGAGATCAAGAGTCTCATGTTCTACTGACTGAGCCAGCCAGCCACCCCGAAAAGTTATTTACCTTCTTAAGCCTCAGTTTCCTAGACTACAAATGGGTATAGTAATACTTCTCATAGAGTTATTGTAAAAATTAAGTGAGATGATATATATAAAGGTCCTGGTTTGGTACCAAAACAGTAGGCACTCACTGGCAACCGACTGCAATGATAACCACCACACAAATCCGTGCTTTCAAAGGTGAAGGCCTATGTTAACATTATAGGGGGCGCCTGGGTGGCTCCATTGTTTGAGGAGCCGACTCTTGATTTTAGCTCAGGTCATGATCTCAGAGTCCTGAGATCAAGCCCCATGTTGGGCTCTGTGCTGGGCATGGAGCCTGCCTGGGATTCTCTCTCTCCTTCTCCCTCTGTAGCCCCCCAACACCGGCTCTTGCTCTCTCTCTCAAAAAAAAAATTAGTAAGTTTGGGAAATAAAGCTGAAAAACTACTATGCTGAAAAGTACCAGACCCTGAGCAACACCAATAAATTCCACAGACAGAAAACCCTGTATCAGTTAATATAATACTCCAAGGAATGAACGAGGGAGGCAACATTTCCAGGGAAGCAACAACAAAATCAAGTGACAAGTCATGCGAATGGCTCATTTTTTACTGCTGTAAGGTCTAATGGGCAGGATTACATTTAAGAAAAAAAAAAAAACTGTCCTTAGCAGACAAAAGGGGAAGATATTTTGTTTTTTATCGCCAATTTCAAAGCTGGAGAGCTACAAGCTTATACATAGCTCTGATGAGGGGCCGTTTTATCTCTTTCTCCAATGACGGGAACTGATCCAAAATGTTTCCAAAATTAAATAATCGAAGGCCAGAAAGCTTGCCTACATTATGTGCAATCCTTTTATATGCCAGAGGATCCAAGCATTCAGTTAAAAGACAACAAAAACATGATGGTATTTTATCAAAGGACCAATTAAAATAATAAGAAAATCTGGGAGACAGACCCTTCTAATAGGATGCCTAAAGGATATTACATTGTAACACATCTAGGAATATAGGAATTTTTGTGTAGATACCTTATTTTCCACAAAAGATACATTTCTAAAAACAAAAGAAACCCCCCAAAACAGACAAAAAAAACCAATCTAAATGAAGTAGAGATACTTGTTATATTAGCTTACCAGGAATCCTGTACTAAAATGAATTCTTTAAAGGCAGGAATTTAACCTTTTTTTTTTTCTTTTTAAAGACTTATGTATTTCAGAGAGAAAGAGCGAACAAGTGGGAGGGGTAGGGAGAGGGAGAGAGAGTCCCAAGCAGACTCCCAGCTGAGTTGGGGCTTGATCCCAGGGCTGTGAGATCCTGACCTGAGCTGAAACCAAGAGCTGGCCACCTAACCAACTATGCCACCCAGGTGCCCCAGGCAGGAACTTATCTTTAATGTAAATCCAAATTTTCCTTGACTAACCTTGCTTATAATAGACCATATTCATTGCACACCTATAAAGTACTACGCATAGAGTATCAGTTGAACGCTTTGCATGTAGAGTATCATTTAATGCTCACAACACCGAGAAGTAAGTGGGGTCAGGCTCCTTATGAAACAAACAAGGCCAGAGGCACAGAGAATTCAGTAAATTCCACTAAGGCAAGCAGTAAGGCGCGAGGCTAAGATTTAATCCCCCGCAACTGACCTCCATTCTTCATCCCCTTCAATTAGCAACACAGCTCCATGTAGCTCCTCTGAAACTAAATTCCAATCTTTTATTCCTAACACCAGTCTAGGTGGCAAATCAGTGATAAGCAGATCACTGGAAATGCTGGTTAGCATGTTACTTTTTTTTAATTTCATGGAAATTAAACATTTATATGAATGAAAAAAACACTTCAGGAACATATTTTCTCAGGTACACAAAACTATACGATGAAAGCTGTACCTACTGCTGGAACTAACTCTAAATGAGTCTGAATTTGGAGGATAAGTGCTTATGTAAAATTGGTAATGATATCCCATCTCACCCCCTACTCTTTCACAAAGAAATAGTAAGTACTTTTAACAACAGTAATGAGGCAAATGTAGTAAACAGACATATCTGACACTGACTCCAAAGCCAACGTGCTGCATGATACCCATAATAAGCTATTTAAATCCCTGTGTCTCAGCTTCCTAAAAACATACCCCAAAAACAAAAAACCAAACAAACAAAACCCCGATACCAAAAAGTCTTCAGATAGTCTATTTCATCCATTACAAAATATCTTCTGGAACGATTAAAAACTGTAGAAGAGCAAAGAGACATTTAATCTAAATGCCTCATTTACCTGACATCAGCAGAAAACAAGGCTGATGCACAAAAGAAAAATCATAAAATAACTAAAACAATCCGTTAAATGCCAAATTATCACTGTTTCATTTTTGGTAGATAATCAAAATAAGCCTTTGAAAAATGGATTACATGAAACATAATTTAGCTTGTTCTTAATTGACAAAGTCTTCATGAACAATGTCTCAAATCAGTCCCTTTCTCGTCATTAATTCTACCCCCTGCTTCAAGTCAGACTCTTATCTTTCACTGGACCATGACAGGGGTGTCCTAATGATGAGCACTGAGAGATCTGTGGAAGGGCTGAACACTGTATTGTATACCTGAAACTAACACAACACTGCATGTTAACTACACTAGAATTAAAATTTAAAAAGACAATTGGGAAATTCTGAACACTAAATATTGGAAAGAATCATTAATTTTTCTAATTGTGATGATGGTTTTGTAGTTATGGTTTTTTAAAGTCTACTAATAGAGACACTATACTAAGATATTTATGAAAATAATAACTTCTCTGTGATTTGCCTCTAAATAATCCAGTGGGAAGAAGTGGGTAGGAGTGTTTATGAAAAATATGAGTTGAAGGTGTATGGTGTGTACATAACATTTGTTCTAATCTTCTACTTTTGGTATGTTTAAAAATATTCATAATAAAAACTTAAAACATGAAAAAAAAAATCCCAAGGCTATCCTAATGGTTTATCCCTGGTTTCTTCATCTCACTGCCAAACAAGATTTTTCTGAAACTTAATAAATAAATAATAAAGATAAAGATGACCATGTGGCATGTGAAAATCCCACAGGGTGCAAACTACTTTATGATCTCATTCCACTGCCATTCATCTCCTTTGCTTCTACTCCACGTCTAAGCTGCTTCTGTGGAAGTGCTTTAGTTTACACGCATTTCTCTTTTCTTGCAGAGGAGAAGGGCATGGCAGATTTTGGCCTCTGAAAAAACTTCTCCTTCCAGATATACTGAAAAATAGGTCCCTAAAGAGTCACCCAAAAAAACTCCTGGAAGTAATAAACAAACTCAGTAAAGCTGCAGGACACAAAATCTATCTACAAAAATCAGAGGCACTTCTAGACACTAATAATGAACTACCAAAAAAAAAAATTCAGAAACCAATCCTATTAACAACTGAATCAGAAAGGATAAAACACCTAGGAATAAGTTTAATCAACGAGGTGAGAGAGCTGTACACTGGAAGCTGTAAGACACTGACGAAAGAAACTGGAGAAGACACAAATAAATGGAATGATATTCTATGCTCATGGGTGAGAATATTTTTTAAATGTCCATACTACCCAAAGCAATCTACAGATTCAGTGCAATGCCTATCAAAATTCTAGTGGCATTTTTCACAGGAATACAGCAAACAACCCTAACATTTGTATGAAACCACAAAAGACCTTAAATAGCCACAGCAATCTCAGGAAAGAACAAACAGGAGGGCATCGCGCAGCATTAGCTCTTCTATCCTCATCTAAGAGGGATGATTACAGCAATACAGGCCTACCCCAGGAAACAAGAAGAATCTCAAATAATCTAACCTTATACCTAAAGAAGCTAGAGGAAGAACAAAACCCAAAGCCAACAGAAAGAAGGAAATAGCAAAGATGAGAGCAGAAACAAATGATATAGAGACCAAGAAAACAATAGAACAGATCAATGAAACTAGGAGCTGATTCTTTGAAAACATCAACAAAATTGATAAATCTTAGCCAGACTCATCAAAAAACAGAGAGAGAGAGAGGGAGGGAAGGAGGGAGGGAGGGGACTCAGATAAATATCACCAGAAATGAAGGATAAGAAATAACAACCAACACCACAGAAATACAAGGATTGTAAGAAATCATTTGCCAACAAACAGGACAACCTAAATGAAAAGGGTAATTTCACAGTAACATAAACTTTCAAAACTGAATTAGGAAGAAAAAGAAAATTTGCAGACCAGTTCCCAGCAATGAAACTGAATCTATAATCAAAAAACCC